ATGGACCACTTAAGCCCTTATGATTTATTCATGTCTAAAATAACCCCTATATTTTAAAAAACGTAACATATAAATCCCTCATATTAAGTTTGAGTTAATAGACATTAGAGTTTGGTGGCATGCTAACTCATAATAAATTATTTATATAATGACATATGTAATTTAAGTTTTTAAAAAATAATATATTTTAGTCCATGTAGTTTTAGTCATGGACCACTTAAGCCCTTATGATTTTGTTTGTGTCTAAAATGACCTATATATTTTTAAAAACGTAGCAGATAAGCCCCTCCCATTAAGTTTGAGTTGACAAATGCTAGAGTCTACTTGCGCGGCATGCTGACTCATAATAAATTATTAATATAATGATACTTATAATTTAAGTTTAAAAAATGTATATCTTGTCGAGTAAGAGGAAGCGATGGAGGCCGTAGCGACGGTTGAAGGCGGAGAGGCAAAGGTAAGAGAGGCCGGAAGTAAAGGTGAGGGAGAGCTAGACCACCATGTCATAGGCACGACCGGTGGGCGTGCAAGAAAGAACGAAGTGGGAGGCAGTGGGGAAGAAGATGCCCAAGAGGAGAAAGAGGGACCAGGAGACTATTGCATGCCTAGTGTCGGACTGGTCGACACACATCTATTTGAGGTAGGGCCGGAAGCTCTTGAGTTTATCGTCAGCACAAGAGAGGCTACGTGTATACGACATCTTGCTAGGCAACAGCGGCTCGGTGCTGCTACTAGTGGTCGCTTTCACAATGACGCCTCTCCCTACCATTGATGGTGGCCTCAATTTTTTTAATTTAAATTACATGTGTTATTATATTAATAGTTTATTGTGAGTCAGCATAACACATAAGCAGACTTTAATATTTGTTAACTCAGACTAGGGCTTACATGCTATGTTTTTGAAAATATAATGGTTGTTTTAGACATGAGCAAAACTATAGGGGATTATGTACTCTATGACCAAAACCACAAGGGTTAAAATGGATCACTTTTTTAAACTTAAATTATATGTGTCATTCTATTAATAGTTTATTATGAGTCAGCATGTCACGTAAGCAGACTCTAATGTCTATTAACTCAGACTTGATGGGAAAGGCTTATATGCCACGTTTTTTAAAATATAGGGGTTATCTTAGACATGAGTAAACCATGAAAGCTTAAGTGGCCAATGACAAAAACTACAAGGGTTAAAATAAACCTTAACCTTAGATTAATAAAAAAGTATATCATTTGAAAATTCTGAAAAGGGAGAGTACTTTTGGAAAAAAAAATCCAAAATGAGACTTTTCTTATATAGATCAATCAATAAAGGTCAATGCAAATAGTAGAAGCTTTCTTATTATTTTATATAAAATTTATTTTATCAAGCATTTATCTTTTCTGTAAATTAAAAAAAAAATATTTTATAAAATAATTTTTAAAAATTTTGTAGATTTTTTTTTGCTTTAATTGATTCAAAAGTAAAAGCAAGAAATACGATGCTTAAAAAATTATCAAAACATTTTTGTAAAGATGATATTACTATAAACTATATTAAAAGTTTGAGTTTAGTTACATTATAAGGAAATCTAGGGCAACGTCATATGTGTAGTGGAAGAACAAAAGATAAAATCTTAGAATTTTTTGTAGAAAATAAGGTTTCATCATCGTACAAAGATTGATGCGCTAAAACTCGTAAAACCGAAAAACTATGCGTACAAGAGAGATCGTGTTACCTAGGGAGATCGTATATCCATGAATTCCATAGATTTGTGAGAGAGGATGAAGGAGGTCAACTGTCATCCTCTTTAGTAGTGATTCACATGGTAGGGGCTACAAAAATGCTCCTCAAATCGAAGTACAATCCTCCTCATAGCATGCACTACGCAATAAAGAAGGGACTGCCCCTTCTTGCTATCCATATGCCCCAAATAGGGGCTACAAGTTGAGGAAGAGAGGGAGAGATGAGAATAAGAGGTGGCAGTAAAATAAAACCTAGCTCATGGCTTGTTAGTTCCCTCCTTAGAGGCAACCTATCAACTTAACCATAATTGATCCTATCATATTGGGTATTTGATTTTCATCCAACTACCCAAACCTCTTAGATTAGTAAGTCTCTATCCAATAATCTCTCATTGGCTCTTATTGGATCTTATCCATAGGATCCAATAATTCATGGGCTTATTGGATATCCAATAAGATAGGGTTTTAGTAGATATATCATATCCGAACCTCCACTTGTCATAATACCTACCATATGTGTGTGACCCTCTATGCCTAATATTGAGTTGGTCGTGAGTTATACCTATCAAAACTTTTTTTGGTTCAATAAATTATTATCTCCATAATAATTTACTCGACTCATCGACTACGAACGTATTAAGCCACGACACCGTAGACCCCAGACAATATAGAGGAATCCAATCCATTGGACATGTTTGCTTTTAGTTACCATATATCTATAGTCCATAATCCATCTAATATCCCAAAGATTATATATCGGGCATGATGTTGTCAGGATTTTCTCGAAGAATTCTCTCTATCAATCCGAATGACCTTGGCTAGGGATTTATCTAAGTAAAAAACACAGAGATATTCTTGTCATGATACCGAGAGGGAATGATCCTTTATCGACACTCAATAGCCCTCGTAAGGTTGACTGTCACTCCCAATGACCAACCATGTTAGATCTAAAACTTCCAGACCTATAAATCTGGTATCAAAAAGTAGAGTACTTATATAGAACATCATTGGTGTCTCAAGTCTAAGGACCAGATACACCATTGAGATGATAGAATCGTTGTCTGATAATAAGACGTCATCAATAATCCAACATTCCGTGAGCGGATCAATCAGTGAACTCATTCTCCAATTAGCACTAGCACTTGCATTGTATCCCTAATATCCCGATACAAGTAACTATGAGATCAGGTGCCTCCATCATAAGGGCAGGTATACAGTATGCAAGTCTATCCAATTATCTCGATGTCCCCCTCGAGTAACCTATAACCGAGACTATTTAGGGTATGTGTTTAAAGATGAATCGATCTCACTATCGTGATCTCATCACGATCTAATTCTCATTGCATATATATATGTATATATATACATATATATATATATATATATATATATATATATGTATATATATA